AACAGAAATTGAACTTAGAACACATATTTTTCATTTATTGATGATATGTCAGTGTACAGTAATCATTATTGTACATCTTGCTAATTGTGAAAATCACATTATTTGGAAAATAATCCAACTCGGAATAGTCTGGAATACTTTGACCGAGAAAAATATTTCACAATGAATAAAGCTTTTTGCCTTTGGCAAATCGATCAGTTTTATTGGTAATATTTTTTTTTCTACTCTATCTTTTGTTCATAAGCAGAGGGGGCGTGCGAAAACCACCGTCTTGTCCCGCAACAAACACCCTCCTGAGGTGTACACGTGTGTGTGTGTGTGTCGGTGTAGATGACGATCAGTCTTGATGCTGTTGACAATCGGTTCCTCTAAGATGGCTGTCCGCTGTGACTCTTCGAACAGCTCGAGCACATCGCTTGATATGTAAGTTCCATCTCATCGTTCGGATGAATCGAAATGTTAAAGTGACTCACATATTCACATTTGCTTGACTGGACCGCCAAATCTCACGGGTAACTTAAGCGCTCTGTGTGTGTGTGTCGCACTTGGGGATGGACCGCCGATTGAGTCATCCGCAACCGCGTTGATGCTGATGTTGCTTGATCGCTCAAGCACGCTTTGGCGCGTTGAGTCATCAATTTATTTCTGCATCGTCATTCACAGTGGGAATCAAAACAACTCGGAGTAGCTGCTGTTGGACCATGAACCTGACGGAAAACCGTTTCTAATGTGACGCAAAACAAGTTGTACAAGCCCGTGAGACCAAACGGAGTTTGGTTAATCTAATATATGCCACTGAAGTGAACTCAGTGCTCAAACTGGTCATCCCTTCTGGACGAATAATTGGACTTTATATCAATTGTATTATGTATTGTATTGTTAGTGACCTACAATCGTACTAGGCTACCCCGATACGGACACTCTTTTCTTTGGCCATGTGCCCCAAGGGATAGAATTCAGCGGTGAGTGAGGTGGATGGGCTAGGAGGCGATGAACCATCCAAACGAGTGGCAAACTTCGTTTACACACACCGACACACAGACACATTCGTTAGACATATTTGTGAGGTCACGCCGTTCAGTTCGTTAGTCAAGTGACCCGAAGCGAAATCTGAATACGGACGATAACTATCTTTCAGCACAGACACGATCACAAATGGAATGAGTGTGAGTGAGAGAACATTCTGCCTCAAATCCCACTGAATCCGTGTGTGTGTGTTTGTGTATGAGCTGCTCAGGAATGCTTGACATTCTGTGCCACCTCGTAGCAACTTTGATCTTATTTATCACGCGTCAAACGAACTATTCACAGGGGAACTTGCGAGTGTTCGACGAATGATTGGTGGATCGTAAGTGAAGTGACTTGGGATACTTGCCTCATTTATCTGACTGTATGTATTCTTCAAGTCCAGTCGACGTGTTAGTCATCACCACAAAGCCTTGGAATTTGTTTCATCTTTGCAAAATTTTTACACCAATGTCAGTTCACCGAATCCACGACAATCCAACCCGGGACATGAGATGTTGTCAATCACTTGTGGTCCTTAGGCCAACCGGCTCTCAGTAGCTCACTATATGTCGATACTATCAAGAAGTGTGCTGATCCTTGAATGCAGGTAAAACTGCCGGATCTTATCAGTTAATGATGATTAAGTGCCTCATGCTTACAGTATTTCCCAGTTGTGGGTAACATTGTCTATGTTAGACAGACACAAACTCATACGAAATTGTATTCGTTTTAATTCTGCCGACTGATCAACGATATTGGGTCTGATGACGTGGTAACCACGGTTACCCGAACAATCTGTTCCACAAGAATGAATTTTACCCTTCCTATGGCTCGTTGCACACACAGAAGACCGATCTTACTCGCTCGTTCTCCAGACTGGTTTCTAGGGTGGGAAAGGCGCTATTGAAGGCATCGTAGATCCCATTTTGTTTGCACAAATGCTAATTAGATGCTAATGTCAATGGAAACACCTAGTTTTGAATTCCAAAGAGCTCTCGAAATGGTAATGAAAATTTGGACAGTTGTCATGAGGGATTTTTCAATGGGGATATTCGATGCAAGAAACACGTAGAAGATGCGCGAACCTCAATGAGGATGGGCATGACCAAACTAACATCAATTTGAGCGCGGCAAAGAATAAGCAGATAGTGCAACCTGTCCCGGTTTTATTCACCAGATCACCAATGCATTTTCTTCTACTGACGTCTGAACACATTGACAACGGTATTCGTCTGATGTAGATACTTTCATTTTACTGTGTCCCAAATGACAACCGCTATGTAGTGTCTCAATCCATTTGCGAAGAATAATTTCTTCCGGGATAGTTACAGCCCAGCGAAAGATGCCAGAGTCTTTTGCATTGCTTTACTAAGGTATGATCCATAAGATTGTTCCGGGGCAAAACCGAGAAGAAGGTCTCGAGGGCCAAGGTGCAAAAGTTGGTAAGAAGCAGTTGCACAGGAAGAAGGACATTTGCTCTCCCGAAATTGAATATTTAGACTACTGGTGTGAGTGTGCGCTATTACTCTGCCAACTAGTTCAATTCGGGTGTGAACGAAAATTTCAAACACAAGTTTGTTCCCACGTCGTGATAAGAAAATGTCAGTGAATTAGTAGCCCAAAATATACTCTATATACCGAGTTCAATCCACAGTTATTTTGAACAGATGATGAATTCGTTGTAAAAATGAGACCTGAGCTGAACAGCTAGGAAGCACTGGATCGCTCTTTCGACCTGGTTGAGTCTCATCAGTGGTGCTAGTCCATCGAGAAACGTTTCACATGGGGGAAGTTTCCAACCCAGTCATAGCCCTGGAGACTAGTGCTGAGAAGAGCGAAGACCAAAATACGCAACAAGCTAGCATAGATGGATTGTACTATAGCATGTATAATCAAAATAAGAAACGGTCTGGTCAGCTTCCGGGTGCCGAGTGGGTGGCATGCTTGTGTTCCATCTTTAAGGTCCCGGGTTCGACCCCCTGGTTGGATCGACGAATTCGCACTGCTAATGAGACCCAACCAGATCGAAACAACTGCCCATTGCTTCCGATGTTTGCAGCTTGTGCCTCATTTATAAGACGGATTGATCACCAAATCAAATCAAATCCTCCATTACTCTGATATTTTTTGAATAGTTAGTCGTTAGTCACGATAGTAAAACAAAGACAAACCTTCCAAGGGACAAAACTGGCACTTGAATAGCACTTGGGATAATAGATACACACAACTGCTAGCATCCGGTCAGGCCACACTCAAGTTCAGTGCTTCTTAAGGAACTGAGGATTGTGTGCGAACACACAGACCGAGGCTTGATCAGCCACAACGAAGACAGATTTCCATTATTGCAAAAGATAACTTAATGTTTCATCGGCAGGTAAAAGTTTCCTTGCTCATGATCTATCTGTCTAAAAATAATGCAACATTTATGCATCCGGTCGACTCAATGTTGAAACGGATCGAGTAAAACAGCATTTCGGCCATTTCATCTTCTTTCAGAGCTCACTGACCCCGGAAATTCAGGATGTAGGAACAAATTCTTCTATTTTTGGAGCAATTACATCGAAGCGCTCCAGTGCAATTTCATGTACTGGCTTTCTATCTCAGACAATTTACTGTTTTGCAAGCTAATCGTTCTCAATAAATCTATTTTCATTGTAAAATGAGATGTTTTCAGCAGAACTCTCTTGTTTTATTCCTACAAACAATTTTGTAATCCAGGGTGCAATAATTAACAGAAGAGTGTTGCAGTCGAGCAAATAGTGATAGCAAACATTTTGAAATACTATGATTTAATCGTGCGAAGTCCGGGTTGGTGTATCAAGGGTCTACACCGTTTGATCATAACTTACCACTTCCAAAGTTGGAACGAAAGAGACAAGTGAATAGGCTAAAAATTACTTCAAGTCCAAATGTGTACCATCCGACGCATATGTCAGATTAGTATTTGTTTATTAAAAAAAAACAAGGATAACACCACATTACGGAAATCCTCAGGTGTCACATACCTGTTTGGACAGTTTGATCCGGTACTTCCGCATCATTGTCCGAGGATCCTGAATTGCAGGCCCCCGTGAATTCTTCATTTTGGACCACAGGCTGAACAAGACAAGGGAACGAAAATACAAATGAATGAGTAGTCAGGCGGTGTGCATCCTTGGGGCAAAGGGTATATAAATGCCCAACATTCAGTCGATAACCGGACTCATCATCGTGCTTTAAAATTTCGACGAACTTGATTCGTGTCACATTAAAATGACTTTGCAAGACGTACGTACTGCCCTGGCTGGGGAGACAGTGCAACTGATCTTTATACTGAGCTGTCTGCATAGCGGATTTTATAAGTAAAAAAGAACATCGCCTCAGCAAACTGTAGGTTTGGTTAAAAATTGACCAAACTTCGAGAGTCAGCCACAATACCAAGTTAACGATCCGTACAAATCGGTTTTATTTAGGAGCATGGACAGTTTATAAAAGAATCTGACTTCAGTAGTGCACATACGCATCATTTAAGTTAACATACAAGTGTGGGAACCATGTTTAATTGACGTAAAATGTATTATGCAAGTGGATGTTTAGCCGAAGTTTGAAGTTTGTATAGCGATTGTGAAAAGTTCACTTACCTCGGTGGAATTCGAACCCACGCATGGACGATGCCTACGCTTTGTACGCACACACTGTACCAGCTACCAGCTACGAGGCCACACGGATAGTACTAATCTTTTTCACATTCGATTTACTCATCGAATGCACAGAGGCATAAGGCATCCACCAATTAACCTGTACGGTGACATCCACATCCATTTGCACCATCAACCTTGCCGTGGAATTTCATTCGGTGGACTACAATGAATTCTAAGGAAAACCGGTCGGGACAGTCAGTTTCGAATGTGAAAAGATCAGTATGACCTCGTAGCTCAGCTGGTAGATCGTGCTCATACAAAGCGTAGGCGACCTCGTTGCGTGAGTTCGAGTCCCACTGAGGTTACTGAATTTTTCACAATCACAATGTAAACTTTATTATCCTTATGATTACCGTTGTTATTCGTTAGAACAGCGAGAAGACAAATACTGAACTATGTTAACATTTCCTTTAGCCTCTTTAGTCGCTAGAACGTAAAACAATCTGGTATTTACGCAGTCAAGTTTTGTTAACTACAATGGTTCAACGAAAAATAGTCAAGATAGTGGGGTGGGTGGGGTGGAGTCATTTCCATGGCAGTCTGATTGATTGTGTCGGAAACGTTTGTGCGCACAAGATTGGGTTACGTTACCATAGATTAGCATTGCCTTACAAAATTCCAAGATCCTGGGATTTGTGTTTCCTAATAACGGCTTGAACGACAAATGTGGGTCAACGATCGGTCCAGTTGTCATGATATGTTTTGCGACCGATGACCCTGATTTACTCTTATCATTTGTTGTACTAATCACTTGTGAATGTGTTCATATATCCGGTGTGACCGGGGCCGATTTGTTCTGCCGCTGTAAGTATTACTATCAAATCCAATTGATTTAGATGATGATCCTGGGAAAGAGAGAAAAGCGCTCATGATTTAGGTCGCCAAACCGTCGTTTTTGCTTTCCGGATTAAACAATTTTCGTTCTCTCACTTTGCGCCAGACATTTACAGATGGGACTGATCGAAAACTGGAAGGGATCTCGATGAAATTTACTTTGAATAATTTTTTTTGGAAGGGGGAGCAAACTGCATTGGGGCTGTGACGAGTAATCAGTTCCTTCAGTGATTCGAAATGAAATGATGAAGCTGAACAGAATTGATATTGACTATCGAATTCACGTGCTCTCAATCGGCTTTCTCACACACACACACACACACACACACTATGTTTGCACAGAAACACCTAATTGCATAGATTGTTTGAACTTTAAGGGACATTTAGACCTTTTTCATTTAATCACTATTATGTGCTTGTAGAATTGTTATTCGCCTCTGAGCTTTTACTTTCCTCTAGTAACTCCCAGGGACAGCGTACGCATTTGCCGTTCGGCCTTCATTCTGCCAGAAAGCAAGCTTTGAAGGCTGAGGGACATTTCCGGTGTATGCAATGCAGTTTTCCGCCGGACATAAAAACGTTGGAATTAGTCACTTTTCCTTTTTCATTCCGTTTAACTATCAAGATTCAATTACACAAGAACGTAGAAGATGGTAGGAGGAGACATGTTAAAGATTCACGTACGGAGTGAGCAGTTACTAGTTTGATACACTGGAGTATCTGAACGTTTTGTGTACAGTAAACTCATTTCTGTTGTGGCAAAACTGATGAAGAAAAACGCAACTCCTATCAAGACCTATCTCAAGTCTCCGCATCAATAATACCGTGTGATGACCACAGATCAAGATTGTCTATGGAAAAATGAAAAATGAAATTTGATGATTAAAGTTTCATCAAACGTTTGATTCCTATTAAGAATTGTGGTACAATAAAAATCTATCCTGCCAAAGTACTAGCCTTAAAATGTTATGTAGAAACCAGTTTGTTTGATAGTTTCCAACTTCTGGAAAAGGAAGAATATAGCATTCTTGAGTTACCTTGGCACCGGATCGACTATCATAGAATCGTGCCGAATGTGAACGAGGGAACTTGTGTAGCCCATTCCCCGTGTATTCGCAGTATCCATCAACTGTGGACATTCTGTGTTCCACGATAGACTGAACCACAGGCCATAAGGCAGATCCGTGTTTGAAGTATTCCGGCGGCACCGGAATCCATGCCACAGAAACTGGTCGTGCAGGTCTGCCGGTCAAGTTTCGTAAATCGACCGGATGAGAGACCGAACGGGGCACTTTCACAAGATCTTTGGGACCAGAACTTGGAGTTGTGCTATCGGTGGAAGTACTATTTGGAGTGAAATAGAACACAGTAATATTTGGTTGATAATGAAACGAGTGAAAATATCACATAACCAGGATGTTTTATTTCATTTCAGTTCACAGGTACCTGAGGAAGCAAAGCACACACCAATTATAACACGTGACACCCCTTAAAATCCATTGAAAATGCGGGCAGCTCTAGCAAACCCAGGTCCTCTTTGCTTGCAATTAGGTGAAAGTTAAGACCATATCTGGTGAAGGGATAAATATTTGCTCATTTGGCTATTTCTCCTTGTGTGACACTTGTCTTAGAACGATCTTTTGTCAGGCAGAAACATGCCTCGTCCTCGAACATGATTCCAGACTGTTCGTGGTTGTTCACGCATTGTTTAGCATTATTTAGGTATCTACAGTTAATCCGTGAAGTGCTTTTTTTCTTTTTTTCGTAACCAGGAGTTTCACGTGAACTCGTACAATCTAATTGATCGTTGCACTTTGCACTTTGAAGGTGCAAGCGCATGCCAAACAGAGCAACAGAACTGGCCAAGTGAGTTGACCTAATGTGACGTATCCAGATTCGAGAACAATCCGATTGTAGGATCCCTGAGTAGCGCTTGATGAGAGTGTCTACCTTTCATTCACGAAGATCTGTCAAAAGCTCATTCTATACTTTCATATTCATGATCTAAAAACGGTTTTTTAATGCTACCCATTGTGGATATCAATATTGTTTCATGATTGGCAAACAGGGCAGGAAACCTATTTGTGAAGGTTTGATATTTAATGAGAGGAAACAGAACAGGCATCAAGTAACAACATCGTTTAGCTTGCATTACATTTATAAAAAAAACTACTCAGGAGTGCACGCTTCGCATTTTCAAACAATATTACCCGCTTATTTACAGCAAACGAATGAAGAAGCAGCGGAAATTGGCCTACATTGAAAAGGAACAGGGGGGAAAAATTGCACCCTGTAAAACACCAGAAGCAACTGAGCGAGTATAATATTTCTTGCAGTTTATGCACGTGAAATACCTTCCCTTAGTGACATAACCACCGATCAATCTGCATAGGTTCGAATTAATGCCACTTTTAGTGATTAGATTGAGCAATAGCGATCGATCAAGACTGCCGAATGCGTTTTTGTACACTAAAATGATCATTCTGACGGTCCTGTCTTTCCTTACCAGCGATGGAAGTACTGAGTGGGCAAGGTGAGCAACGATAACAGGTGTTAAACGCGAGGAGAGATGCTCAAATCAATGTATGTTCCCTTCAGCAGCTTCAGTGACAACCCACAGCAGGAAGGTTCATTCACATAATTTGAACATGAATGGTATACAGATGATGGGACGATACTTCGCAAGTTCCATTTTGGAGATTGGAGTTATTTGAGCAGTTTTCAAATTTCAAGCGTCATTTCAAACCATCACTACATTTTCAATCCTCCATCAATGACTGTAGCACTTCGAGTGAATCGATTTTTACAGTAAATTATTTCCTATTAATTCAAATTTTTTCTTCACATAAAGTTTGTTTTCTCGGATTGAATATTAGGTCTAATGTTGACTCAAGGATGAATCTACCGCTCACCTCCCGTCCCAAATCAGGTATTTATATAATCAACAAACCGAACAGTAATGCTAGTTGAAGCGTATAGCCAATCCAGTATAACATATTCATATAAGAATAGGCATTCGTTTAATCATGTATGTGGTCTATGTATGGTTTTCTCATTGAAAATACTGAAACAGTCCAAATCAATCAATATCAATTATCCCATGCCACTAGTCACAAGTAACTGTGTATACTAATTCACTTGTACTTGTGGAACCACGTACATAGGCCGCACGGTCAGGCGAACGGATTCATGACCACCAAACTGCGTGGCTGAACACCGGAACGATTAAGTCAGTCAGCAGTGCTGTGGTTTCACACCTAGCTGAAACAAATCACACTGTGGACGTGTCCGAGGCTTTTCGACCCCTCTTGGCTGCGGCAAAAGCGGTTGGCATTCGTCTTCACAACCCCGTCTGTGTGTCCAAAAACAATTTGTGCAAGCGCTAAAGCTTCCGTGCCCCCCCCCCACACACACACCGCATCGCCAGTAATCTCGTTGATCGGATGAGTGGACAAACAAACATGTGATCGTGGTGAATCCGATTTCCGGTCTCATGGTGAAATCGTTTCTAGTAATCTGTGATTTTATTTTATTTTATTTTCCCAATTAGTGATGTATATATTTAGATATATTGGTATGAATACCAATCTCTGAAAACGAGCTTGTCCGCCACTCTGTTGTTTTGTTTGAAATAGTCAGTTCAAATAAATCACTACTGAAAGAGTTAAAAGTTCACAAAGTCGGGAACTTCTTCTCAAATATCACATTCTCATTCATCACATGCGGATAATTATATTCCAACCCATCTGAAACTATTATGAGTAGTATGTGAATGACTGGACAAAATATCTCATAAGCACATGACCGGTTTCGCAGTCCTTGCTACTGATTACGTATGCGTATCCAGCAGTCTCCCGTCTGGTGACTTTTATACTTTATTGCCCGATTTGAATTAGATAACGCAAATTTTTTTTAAGCTGGGTAAGTTGATTTTGAAACAAACAAGCCTCTGGCTATCATTGAGACCATTCTGTTATGTGTTGTGCGTTAGATGCGTACAACCTGGACTAACTGGAAGCCAAGGCCGATTTTTCGTCTTTCTAATGGGTGAGTTATGAATGACTAGACGAAATTTCCCAGGAGCACACAACCGGTTAGACGCATCCAACCGCCTAACACCTGATACAGAATTATCACTCGGTCACGGTAATACTGTTGCAAAACCAGGCTTCATTAGCATGGATTCACTGTAGTGTAGTTAAACTGTATTTACATTTAAATGATAATCCAATCAACACAGAGTGTTTCTTAAAAAATCACTATGAAAACGTTTAATTACTTCACAAGGGGAAATTGTTCTGTCGCACTTTTTCCGGTAACCTATAATGGGCCATTAGATGGACAATGCAGTATTTCTAACTGGAAACCTACCTACCTATAGGCCGTTCAATTGTTTATGATGGATGTTGCTTGCCACTGACATATTGACTGTGTGTGTCAATCCAGCATTTGTCAGTAGTGAGTGAAAGCTTTCATGCTGACAGAAAATTCTAAAAATTCGCTAGACTTTATCACCAGTTTTAATTTGTGGTCGGTCCCCTAACGAAACATGATTCATCCGTGCCATACGCCGTGGGGACCTCTTGCAAAGCACTTGAATTCCGNGAATTCCGTGATGGGCATTCATTCAATTGAGGATGTGGGTGATAGACAAGTAGGATATCTCTCTCTCGCATGCATGCATGCATGCACGCATAGCACATGGCACAGTCAACACTGTTCTTGCTACACGCCCCCTGCAGCGCATAACATTAATTCTATTTCAACCCTATCCGCAGTCAGATGAGATGAAATGCAGCGCTCACCCGGGTGACGACACAAGACAAAAAAAACCGGGCGACTGGATGGACAGAAGGTTAATTTATTTTCTTGGTTTCAAAAATTGAATCAGGGTTATTTATTGGTTGAAATTTCACAGTTTACAGGTTTGATCGAAACTGAACCGACGGGTCCCTGTGAAACACTTGTCAGTTCGTATAGGCAACAGCATTTATACTGAAGTAAATTTTTTTTATACCAAATAATAGTAAACAAGCCTTAGTGAGTCTTTATAGACGTGATAATTCTAATTCGTTTATACTCAGCAGATGGACTGGTTCAGAATGTAGCGGATACTCTCATTTCGTCAGTAATGGTTGACCTAGACCATGATGAGTTCAGAGGTAACTAAATAGAATGGAACAGTCTTTATTAACAACAAATTAACATTGATAATAAGTAAGATGTAAAGTTTGTGTATACCAATAGTCGATTGGTCTGTCTTTGTTCTTTGGGACTTTTTCGAGTCTCTTCGGCATCGAATCCACCACCAACTTTGTTATGAAGTCATTTTCTATTTTGTGCTCCATTACGTGTCGCACTTTTGCCTCCAATGTCCAATGTACAGGTAGCATATTGACCTCTCTCTTCGAAAGAGAAAACAGGTTTTCAATCACATTGAGATGCGGGCTATTGGGGGGAAGTTTCATGAACTGGACCTTAGAGTCACGCATCGTTTCTGAAGTCTAAAAGCTAATAACAATTGAACCAGTCTCCTTAACTAAATAAATTTACCAACCTCTCGTGAAACATGACACGGAGCGTTATACTGAAAAACGATAACTTTTCCAGAAGATTTTTGTTCATGAAATTCTGGAACCATTTTCGTCATTACTGATGCAAATTTTCACTATTCATGATGCTCTTGACTGATGTTCACCAACAAGGCTGACCATGTTTTATCCCTGCCCAGATGAATAGTCTCGAAGGATGAGAAACTCTTTCATTTGGTGGAATACGTTCTTTTGGAAAATTTTCATCACAAATGACTTTTATGTGTGATACTTGATAAAGTTTGTGGTTTTCACGTTCAGATCATTTAATCTTGACACTCAAGGTCAGGCACGTTTAATTGGCACTCATGCAGACTAGAAACTATGTAGATCGAAGTAGACAAGATATAAATTATTGTCCATACCTAAAGCATTAATACAGGTGATCAAAATAGAATCAAACTCCAGTTGACCATAAAGAAAACATTTTAGTGCATCACAATTGACTGGTACTGTGATCCAAGAAAAAGACCATATCTACGCTCNTTTAACTGAAAACCACAATTCATTAAACGACGACACATAGTCCTTTAGCTTGAGGGCACAAACTTTAATCAAACCGTTGTAAGCGAATCAGAACCCGAAAACTGGCTGAATAAAATTCGGAGAACAGTGAATATTCAATATATTTATTGCTTTACGCCAATCGAATTTCCAAATTTCTGATAAACAAACACGAAGCCTTGTCACTCATCTCCTCGGGAAATGAGTGCCGTAATGGTGTCAAATGCGGAACAGCAAAGTGAAGGCCGTCTGAATGATTTGCTCTGATGGCCGAACCATTAAGCACGCACCGTAATACTGTAAAACGCAAGCGAATTGAT